GAAATAAACCTTATTATGTCATGCTAAATTAAATGTTCCTGTTTTTCGAACCAGGGCATTGGCTTTATTTGTTTTGTGAAAACTATCTCATCTGTGAAGACCTGAAAAATAATAAAAGTCTAATAAATCAAGTGGAATAGAACAAAGAGGTCTTTCTGTAAATCGGAAATTAATTCTAATATTCTACGAAGAGAAAGAGGAGAATGAAGAGGAAAGGAAGGGAATATTGAAATATGCAGACAAGATAATCCAAGTAGTACATTAATTTTTATTGAAATGGTGGTATGGAAAAATGTCTATTAGCAAAGCAATGTCCCTGCTGCAGAATATTAGTCTCTCATGGAGTTACATAAATATATATAGGTTTTATCAAATGCACAAAAGGACGGGTCAAAACAAACCGTGTAATTCAGAAAAGCATGAAACTATTGTGACATTTTCAAGGACCAAATGCAGAGCCACTGTGAGAAGGCACAACTCCATTTAGCCCTGTGTGTGCACTACAATATTCCATTGCTGGAAAAAAAGAGCCTTATGCATAATCTTTGGTTGGATTTATATCAAACATTAACATTTTAACACCACTGACTCCAGGGTTCCAGACAAAGGCTACAGTATTTTATTTCTGTTCAGTGTTCATAATACAAATGGAACAGGGCTTGTGCTACCTCATTTTCTGTACAACAATTCTGAAATTTCTGAGACAACATGAGCTTTGGTTTACTTATGGATTTTCCAAGAGTGACAATGCCTGGCTGAATAAAGAAGCACAAACTATTCTTGCAAATAGGCTCTGACTCTGAGGCAAATTATCACTGTTGCTAAAGTGCATTAAATATGATCTGCAGCTGTTTGTTCTGGTGCTGTAATCCACTCAGCTCTTCTAAAGTAAACAAAGGTGGGTAGATCAGTAGTGAGACGGTTTAGCTCCAAGGGAAGCAGAGGATGTGCAAGTCAGGAGGTACATCATTGCCTTTTGTGCCATTAGTATATACATGTTTCTGTACATTGCACTGCAGCAATCATCTTACATGAAGAGCTCCATGTATTTGGGCCCTCTGAAGCTACACCACTACCATGTCACTGATGGCAAGTCTCTTCTCTTTATACCCCATGGGCCTTTTCCTTGTGCTCATCTCCATCCTACAATGTCTTGACACAGGTGAAATAAAAGGAAGATGCTCTATACTTTTCTTTGACTCCTTTGTGTAGCCTGTCTTGGTTGCACACCCTTTGTACTCACTGGCAGCTGATGGGGTGTCACCAGGCTATAGCACCAACATAAATCCCAGGTAGAGAGGAGAGCAGGCTGGGCCCCTGGATTTGAAAGTGCAGAGGCAAGCCTAAAAGCAGTGTGCTAGTGGAGCTGACTATTTGGGGATGTAAGATGTATGTGTATATATATATATGAGACACGTTTTTGGGGAAAAGAAACCCCAAAATCCAACCCACAACACCATTTGGCATGTTATCCTGTCCCAGTTCTATTTCACATCATTATATGGTACCTGCCTTCATCCTGCCATCTGTCAAATGGATTTGGTGCCCCTTAATTTCTAATCTGAATTTACTTTTGTCTACTGACATGCACTGATAACAGCTGCTGTATTTCACTGGTGGGTGAATGAAATCATCTATTTCTCTGCCTCCCCAGCAATGCGTTTTGGAACTTCCAAAGGTAACAGTGTCTGCAGGGAACTTTGAAAGCCTTGCACAAAAGGCACCACAACTATGCCAAGAACTACTGTCAATATTAGTGAATCACTTCAGCCACAAAGGGAAAGCAGGTTTCCGGTTTAGAACAACAAACCAACCACAGAAGTGTTTACTGAACACTTTAAAGATAACAGCAGCTACAGAAATAGTAAGAATTATTAAGGTTTCTTTGTGAAAAGGTTAATTGCATGGCGAGACACGGTATTGCAACTTTCAAGCCCATCTACAGGCAAAATAAGCACCTTTTGGTTACAGGGAACCCAAAAGTAAAACCAGCCCTCTGTCCAAAAGCTACGAGATGAAGCAGATGCTCCCAGCGGGAAGGTTTCCATGCCTAAAAATTCCACGTTGACTGAATAGTGTCTTTTCTGGAGGTACATTCAACTTCAGCCTAAACGGGGCAGAGAGAGACTCTGCTGCCAGTCCTCCGCCATGGAGCCCCACACGCAGCCCGTGTGCCACGTCAGCCAGCACTACCGAGAGTGAGGAGGGAGCTTCAACCCAGCCAGCCCCACATTCAAATTTTGTTTTGAAATAAGAAAAGCCAGTTATGGCCAAATATAACCAAAAAAAAAAGACCTAGTAACTGCATCTTCCCAGTAGAAGGTGCTCTGTACTCGACACAACATCCCAGGTGGTCTTCGCCTGTTGCCCTGGGCAAGGCGGCCAGTCTTGGAGGCAGCTGGACACACAGCTTGGAAAGTTCTGCTCTAAATGATGGCACGCATAGTTCAAGAAGAATCTCTTTGCTGAGCAGCTGCTTCCTTTGGGATGAGACCACTCTCACATGAAAATATGCCTGGCAGAAAGGAGAGGCCACCTGCAGATACTGGACACCTGCATCTTTTTGTGGCAGCTTGCTTACTTCAGCTGTCACAGGACTGATGTTGGCTTGCCCTGTCCTCTCCCCTATACTCTGCCATCAGGAAAAAATAGGAGACACTCACCAACAGTGGATGTTTCCACATTTTTTAGAAAGATTGTTTGACCACTACAGCTATTAAGAGCATTCAGCATGGTTACTGAATACCTTCTAATGATTACCTTTCTCCTTTACAACCATGAAAGGGCTTTTAGTCTTAAGAATGTAATTGTTCCCAGCTGTTGGTCTGAAGAAACTTTAGGGAGAAAGATCAGTATTGAGGCCTGGAGTCCCTGTAGTGTTCTCCAAAACAATATGTTCATCTTCAACCCTCTGGGAGCTCCAAATAAACCTGTCCTCTCCAGCATTGCTTGTTAAAGAAGTTAGAGTCCAGTCCCACGTCATGCTGTGCAACTTAAGTTCCCAATAAGGCTCTTGAGATTTCTGCATATCAGTATTTTGTATTTTTTTGCAGAATTGAACCCTGGATACAATCATCCTCTAAGCATCTTCCATAATTCTTTGGTTCTGTACCAGTTCGCCTGCGTGTTAGGCACAACATTATTTTAATGTAAAAATGCAGCAGCACGGATTACCTAAACAAATAGATTTTTCTGGTGTCATCTTATGTTGTTGGTAAACTTAAGTGATCCTTTCTAATGCTGAGTAGAAGTAGAATAACAATTCCAACTCTTGAGCAAAGGTATGCCCACTGCTGTTCTCTTCACCAGAACCCTGACTTCTTACCTAACTTACTCTCAGAAATAATAACTTAATGATTTGGTAATATATATGGCTAATTTGCACTAAGTAAACTATATTCATTTGTGCTAGCTCACTAAAAGATTTTTTTTTTAACTCACTGAAGCAAAAGTACTACAATTCAGCTGACTCGTAGGCAGACATCTTTAAAGTGAGGAACATTTTGTTTCCTTGCAATCTTCTCTGTCCTTAACTTTCTAGACAATTCTTCAGTAATTTGCCAAGGTTTGAAGGCAGGTGAAGTGCTTGGATTTATGTTCTGAACTAACACTATACCTCACTGTAAAACAATCTAATGGTTTTGTGGCTAACAGGACTTAATATATCCTGTTTATACTGCAAAAATGCCTGGGTTTTAATGGGGTGCCTTCCAGCAAGATGGTTAAAACACAGCTCTTCACAAACCATCTACAGTTCGAACTGCCTTCCCCACACAGGCACAAGCAGCCTGTCTAAGCATCTCAACCACAACAAAGGCCAAAATTGCTGTTGAGAATTCATTTTCCATGGCCACATTAATTGGTGGGCCCGTTCGAGTGCAGCTACGTGGAACTTTCTCCCCAGCTGTTGAAACATCTGTACACTGCGCGCTTCCCCCTTAGTTCCCACCGCAGACCTGGGGAAACAAGCTCATTGCATAGTAGCTGTGGGTACTAAACCATAGTGTCTTATATATATGTGTGCAGAATATAGGCGTACTGTTTGTATAGCATCATTTGTGCCCAACAGCCAAATTTCTGATGTATTTGCGCCAGTGAATGACGTGCCCTGGTTGGTTTGCTCAGTAAGCGGTCCTCCCCTGCCCAAAAAAACTCAGGTATGTAGACTGTAGGGCTGTAGGATGCATTCCCACAGCACTCCATATGCATTGTAAAATGCTACCAAACTGCTCCGCTGTGTTTCTGTTGCTGGACAGATTGAGAGATCAAGATGTCACATCTGAGGAGAACTTCTTGCTTATTTGGTCCATAGCTTTTGGCATAATTTGCAATGCTCTGAACCATTTTATATGGAGCTTCATGTAGTAGCCAAAATGTTACCAAAGCCCTGGGCTGGGCAGGAGGATTTTTCCTGTTGTGATGTGGCAGGTGGGATCTCACCTCTAGCCCCATGTGGCATTTGGAGGTAGAGACGAATGGTCAGAGCTAGCACTGCCAGCAAATGGAGCGCAGAGGCACCGTGGCACTGCTCCAGGACCAACGGAATCCAAAGAGCTGCGAGGTCTGAGTGTCCTTTTGGCACAAGGGCTTGAGTGCTCCCGACCCACAGGTGTGCCCCGAGGCACCCATTACAGCTGTGGGATGCGTGTCTGACACGGCGGGAGCGCTTGTGTGTGCAGGGATACATATGCTGCAGGCATGGAGGAGCACACGTTGGTGCTGGGAGCAGTGGGATCCTGGAGTGCAGGCAGGCCTGCAGTGCAAATGCACATCCCAGGCCAAACCCCGCTATTGTCACGGTCCTGTGTTCAGTGATGCCAGGCGGAGGCCCCAGCCCCTGGTGACCCTGTGGCAAGGGCCTCGTGCTTTCAGGGAGTGTGGAGAGGCTAATCAGTTCTATAGACTGTTCCAACAAGCCCTTCTCGGGCAACCTAGGTTCACTGTCATGCTACTGGGGTCAGGGTGCATCTCTGTCAAACTGCATTTGCTGCAGGGCTGCATTAGCTTTTCCCTTGCTTCTCCTTTGTGTGGAGGAGCCGGAGGATGCGTTCATTTTTTGTTAGTTCTGCTGGCAGTTCATTTGCCTGGAACAAAAAACCTTCAGGTTAGCAAAAATGAATGAGTATCTCCAAACCACAGTTGAAAAGCGTTAAGCTCTACAGAAGATGGTTACTGGCACTGTAATGATGTGCTTATTCCAGTGTTGTCTCCACCGCTATTGGAGATATCTTAAGAAGTCTCCTTGCCACACAAAGTGCAAGTCTCACTTGAGTCTTCAAAATAATCCTAGCACAGGATTTAAGTCGTCAGCTTATTTTATGCTGACTGTCCAGGCTACATGGTATCCCCTGGGCTCCCTATGCTTCTGCCACAGAAGTGACAGAGAGCATAGCTGCTGATTTTTTGGGGCAAATGAGGCAGGTTTTTAAGTACCAAAGTCCATAAAAATCCAAGGAAAGACTTTAATGAAATAGTCAGTGCTATTCTGTAAGATTGGCAATAGAACATCAGAGTTTGGTTTTCTGTATTTATTTAATATAGTTTTTTGTAACGTAAGCTATATATAATGAAGCTACTTCTGAAAGTCAGTAATTTTGTCCTGCAAATGTACTGTTACATCAAACTGCAAGTTAGAAAAAAAAAAAAATATCAGTAGGAGAGGTTACAGACACAGACTTTCTGATACTGCACACCCTCCTGCTGCAAATCACCATCAGTAGTAGAAAAATCCTGCACGTTGTTTGGACGATAGTAGCAAAACAAAATGCCCATTAATGTTAACCACAGTACACGAGGCGTTAACTCTGCTGCCATCAAGTGGAATAATACAGAGACAACAGGCACAGATTTTAGATGACCAAAACATTTAGAAGGTATGTACCTGCTGTATCACAAACTTGCATTCACCCAGTCAGGAACCAGAAGTAAGTACCAGTCCGCCCAATCACGGTTTAACAAGCGCAGCTATATATCAAATACCAGCAGCAAATAGCTCATAAACACAACTCAGAGGAAGACATTTTCATGGAAAATGTTTCATTTTCAAACGTGTAATGTTAAAACACTTCATGGAATAAAACCAAGACACGTTTTCTGCAGAAAAGTTGCTGCTGAATGTGAAACTACTACCATAAACTAACAGATTTACAGTAAGATATGGGAAAAAACATGCAATTTTGGATTTTTTTTTTTTGTAGTATCAACAATATGCTGAATTCTAACCAAATTTTCTTATCAAAGGCAACCAGATAGATGTTTCTCTTGCTGCATAAATATTCTACTTATACATCTGTATGGGGATATGAATATAACTTATGACTTACCAAAAAAGTCACAAATCACTGTTTCTCTAAAATGTAACCTAGCTAGTCCCTGAGTATTTATAGTTAACAGTTTAATCTGTGGTGCTGAGGTGAGTGAGTACATGGTGTGGCTATTCTCAGACTAATGCAACTTCACGATAGCTGGCATCACCAGTGGCACTGCCTAGCACCCTTACAGGTGCTTGCATACAGGAACAAATGGACCAAACTGGTGCTTCAGGAGAGGCTCAAGAGGCAACCATGTCCCAACACAGGAATGTGGGTTGCCACTGCCTCCACCGCTCGGTTTTCCCCACCTGCTCCTCTCCCCGGCTGGCATGCCAGGATGTACCTTGTTCCTCAGACATGGGTCCGCTCCTGCTTCGAGGAGCAGCGCCACTGTCCTCACGTTGCCGCCCAGGACAGCCGCGTGGAGAGCAGAGGTCCCGTTCTAGAAAATACCAATGGAGATGATTATACCATGCGTGGGAAGAAATCAAAAGGCAACAAAACACAAATGTTTGCAAAGAACAAACCTATGAACAAGAAAGAAGCAGCACAGAAGACATTAGGTCATCAAAGGCATAGGGTCTGATTTAGGCAGGGTGCTGGCAGGCTAGTGAACTTGGAAGGTGGTGATTTTAAATGCTTTAATAAAAGTGAGAGTCATGTTCACCTTACCACAGCAGTATTTCCTTTTAAAAATTACCCTTGTCAATAGATTAGAGGTGAAATGAACACAGAACTTGCTTCTGCCTGGCAAAATCAGCCATTAGCCAGTGAAACAGAAGCACCACCAGTAATGGAAAGCATCTGTGCACTTTATCTTCTTTCTCTGATGATTAATGGTCTCAGTGTCAGACAGCTGAATAGTGGGGTTTTTTTTATGGCTGGACTTCTGTTTGTGGCTGCAAACAGACTGTTCCAATGAGCATGGAAGCTATTTCATACTTGTAATTAACAACTGAGTTAATGCCACCTGGCTTTTCAAGAACATCAGAATTGCGAATTAGTTGCATGCACTATCAAAGTACGTGATTTATAGGCACATAAAATTAGATTATCTATTAAAAAACAACTTCCAAATATCTGTTATTTTTCAAGTTACTTCTTGCATTCAGAGGAAAACAAAATCAAGTAGAGAATCTGCTCATGACAGATCTCTTAGGATACTGTTTTGCTGACTAAATGCAGTAAAGGGCAGGGTATAACAGTGCTAAAAACTGCACTATTGAGAATGATCCATTCACAGTAGAAGTAAAATCAGATGATGAAAAGCAGGAGAATTACTTCTGTGTCACAATGTGTTTCCTTGTTCCAAAAATCTGATTCACAATTTCTTTTGGAAAGATTAATCTGTGTCATTAAAGGCTAAATAAGATAATTTCGTTTTTCTCTTGACTTTTTTTGGGCTCAAGCTCCTTACCATCTTCCACTGGCAGAGTCATAAACATCAGGTCTTCCATCATACCCTTTGCCTTCTTGAGTTTCTGCCTAAAAATCTGTTGTTTCACTACTAACCTTCAGCAGGCCAAGCGTGGGAGAGAATTTCAGCAACTCTTCTATCACGTTGTTGTACCCTTTAATGGCAGCCTTCAGTAAAGCAGTCGAACCATCCTTCAAAAGAGAGAGGAAGGTCAGTTTAGTTGCTACCAATGCTTTACCCTCATTGCCCTTGGCTGGAGGGAAATATCAGCTCTCCCACACACTTCCAAGAGGAGTAGCAGGAGGCTGTCCTCTGCTCATCGTCTTTGAATAAGCACCTCCACAGCATATGCTGCTGGTTTTAGGGCATCTGGAGGGTTGTTCCTCTGGCAGGTGCAAACTTCAGGGTAAAACGAACGAGTGACACCATATTATATATATATATATATGTATAATCTTTGTCTTTCATTTATATGGACACTGCCATTCCCTTATTCCAGGAGGTCCCTCCAGGAAGCTGTCCTAGACACAAAGGGAAAACGGGAGGCTGTGGTGGGACTTTATAGCCTGGCAAACAGGACAGACCCTGGGGACACTGGGCCCTCATTCAGGCAGACTTGCAGCCTCAAAAAAAGGTAGGAGGCATTAGGCTGCAGACAGAGCATAGGAAGAAGTGCCACTCACATCCCGTGCAGCATCTCGCTCAGCTCCCCGGAGCAGCATTACTCGCACCACCTCACTGTGGCCCATCTGCGATGCAATCCACAAGGGAGCTGTCCCATCCTGCGTACAAAACAAGGCTGCTAATGGTTTCACTTTGAGATCCTGTGCTCCCTGGTATTTTTGGCCCATGTCTGCCTACTGGAGGGAACAGACTTCAACTCCTCAATTAACTCCTGCGTCGCAGTCAGATATAGGCAGAGTTGTTTCCAAAAGCACGTGGGAGCTCGGTGTATCAGGTCAGAACTGCCCCGTTGTGGAGTAGAGCCACCTTTAGCTGCAGAGCTGACCTGGAACACACGTAGCTGTGTTAACACTCGAAGCCCTCTTTGGCTTAGCTGTTATGCCTGAAACGCACGGGGCAATTTGAAATGTGCAAGCCAAGGGTATCCTGTGTAGTCTGAACTCTAGGTGGCTAGATGTGATACGGGCAGAAGATGCAGGCAAATCTCAACATGAATGGGTGAATTCTGCAGCTGGGTCTCTGAACATATGGAGTGCAAGTAGTCCACAGAAGCTAGGGAGCAATGCAAGATGATCACCAACTTTCAGTGTTTAGTTACATTATGCACCGTAAAGGAATCTGATAAAAATGTCCTGCCTTACAGTGATGGTATTTCACAAATTTTGTCTTCAAGGATTTCTCTAGAAATCAAGGCAATTAGCAAGGAGCCCAGCGTGAAACAATCTGGTTTGGAAAAATTGTCCTATGCAACCATTATTTGAGCAGAAAACCCCAGAAAACAAAACATGCATTCAGAATAAGCTAAACTTGGTGATAGATTTCTATCCCAATGCAAAGGTGAGTTGAAGCACTGGTAGTATTTCTTGCTGCAACTAGAACTTAATTTCATGGGTTTTCCTCCTTTTGCTTCTAAAAGGTCTGACTCTCCAGACTACAAGAGGACTCCAGCGGTTATGTGGTGCCAAATTGATTCTCGTGGGCCTTTGACAAAAGGCTTTGCCTGTATGGACTTTAACATAACAGCAAGGTGCCTGCCTCTGCCTTCAGCGCTTGCCAGGTCCCCTCGCCACCCTCGGCAGCCAGAAGACTTGGCAGGAAAAACAGAAGACAAAAGATACTGGGGCTTTGCGAAGACTTGGCAGGAAAAAGGAAGACAAAAGATACTGGGGCTTCCAAAAGAGCCTTAATGAGAAGTTTCAGAAGAAAACATCCTTTTTCTTTAAGTAAGATATTTCCACCTTGATCAAAGTAGCTATGTCTCTCCTCAGTGCCAACTGAAGATTCATATGACTTGTTCTTGCAATCCAAAAAACACACTGTTGAACCAGTTCTCTGCTTTCTATGGGCTAGTGACTTAATCCTTTGGAAGAAACAGAAAAGTTATTTCTTCCTTTGACACAATATTCTGGGCTTCCCTTTTCCTAATCTGAGAAAGAGCAAAGGCACATCCTGAGATCTTCAGGGTCCTCAAATGGTGAGGAACAGGAACTTTGTCCACTCTTGTATCATTTCTCTATAAATTAACTCACTGAAATTAGTGCCTGACCTCACTCTAGTATGTATCCTGTTAATGCAATGAGTGTTTTTTGTAATTCAGAAATAACAAAGGCCCTCTTGTATACAGCCTATGTCATGTTAGTGTGATGGCAAAAGCTGTCTCTCTCCAATTTATAGTGTTTTCCCTACTAATAAGCTGATACTTCATGTTTTTCCTAATGCCCACCACCACCACCATCCCCCCCTCCCCACCAGAGGGCTCTAGGAAATAGCAATAGGGATGCTGAAAAAGCCTATAAAGCTGGGGAAGTAGCTGAGAGCTGCCTACACAATTTAAGCTGCATTAAGATCCAGTACTGTGCAAATCTATGCTTCTGTTTACACAAGAAATGTGTGCATGAGCACAGCAGGGGGAACATAGCACCTTTCTTTCACTCAAAGTGAAGTTTTATAAGAACAACTCAATATTTTCAGGTATAAGTGAAAAGGAGCAAGAGGAAATATAAGTATTGGGTAACATCACTGTTACCATTAACTGTCCTTAATAGTATTGCTGTTAGATGTCATCGGTTATGGGCTAGAGGCAAAAAAGCCACTGTGAGAAAATTACTGTCTTGGAGGACTTAGTCTGAGGAGAAAAAAGATGATGAAGTTGATGGTGGACTCACATTGACTGTTGTCAGCTTCTCTCTCTTAAGCAAACAGCATGTAACAGGCAGGTTTATGCCAACATGTATAATATGTGAATGGAGTAGATATTTCTGTCCATTTTTATGTGGGTGTATGGTGCAAAAGAGATATTATATTGTACTGAAAGGCCACATGAGAATTCCTGTATACACAGATATTAGGGATTGAAGATGAGTCCAGAAGAAAGTGAAAACAGGGAAGGAAGCAGTTCAGAAACAACTATACTATTCTTGTCCCTCTGCCCACCCAACAGTGGACGGTAGACCACTACATTCCTAGAACAGTGTTAAATATGTTTTTAATATGTTTTTAATCTGTGCTTATTTCCATATGGATTGCAAACTAATAGATAGAATTTATATGTCATTATGTCCAGCAGTTCCAAACATACTCTGAAATTTCTGATGCTCTTTCACTCACTCGTTAACTAAAGATTAACGCTTTGAAGCTTTCAATCTCAGTGTTTGCTGGTGGCTTGGAGTTTTAGAAAGGGCCAGATTAAGGTGGGAGGTGAGATACTCCTTGGATTCCTAGTAAGGACTTCCAGACACAGAGAGCTCCTACTCTTAGGCTACTTGGCATCATCTCCACTGTTCTGCCCATCAGTCCACTTGTATCACTGCACTAGCTGAATTCTTGCTAATAAGAAATTGCTTGCTTATTGTCTGAAGTCTGTTCTCCATATAGGCTTACTGGCTTACATATATGTGTAATTTCATAACATATGTTAAGAAAACCAGATTAGTTTTCAGAGTATTTTGAATCTGTTTAGCCAGTCAGGCTAAAGCCTGCTGGGACACAGGCTGCCAACAGAGAGCGTAAAATTCATTGGCAAATAATCTTCTTGCTTTGTTTTTGAGTTAGAGAAGCAAAGAAACGCCTCCCGCACCAGGCTTCAGACACTGCCCCCAGCTCTGTCTAGACAAAAAGATGACAAAAGAATTCCTGCCTGGCTTCACAGTGTCAGAAAGAACAGAAAGCAGCTAAAACCCAAGAGAAATGACATTGCCAGGGAAGAAACTTGCCAGGAAGCTTCACTGTTCAGTCTTGTGAGAGCTGAGCTTAAGGGCCAGCACTATCTGTGATGCTCTGCGGAGTCAGGAGCACCCCGGTGGGACCGGGAGATGGGGCATGAAACTGCAGGGAAACTGGTACCCACTGGAGCTGCAGAAGGAGACATACAGGGCAGATGTACACACTCAGGCAGATGAATTAAGGCCCCAGATGCACAAGGTAGAGAGGAAAACCTGGGTACCATGAGGAAGGAGAAGCACGAACTCACACGTGGCACTCTGCAGCCTTGTATTTGATGTTATGTTGCTTAGAAAATCTGCCTACAGCAGTGAGAGCAGTGTGGTTTGTCACTGACAGTAAGAGTCATCTGGCATCGAACCTGCCCCGTGCAGAGCTGCATTCCTCATGACCAACATGCCACCTTCGAACAAAGTACAAATTTGTTCTCTAGTAAGACAGAGACTGAAGTCCATCCAACCATTACTTTACTAATTAAACAGTAAAAATGTTGCATTTGTTAAGGAAATGTTTCAGGTTACAGTGGGCCCAAATACAAATGCCACGGACTTATCCAGGCATAATCTTAGCAGGGATTGGTGGTACCCTGAAGCAAAGTAAGCCCATACTGCCGGGGGTGAAACAGAGCCAGGAGGAACATTCACAGAGTCAAGTCTTTGCCTCAACTAAGATTTAAAAATGCTTCATGAAACGTTGTGTTGTAGAAATTGGATTAGAGAGCTAAGAAAATATTGTCAGTAAGAATTAGCTGGTGCATTATAATTACAGATAGCAGAATGCAGTTTTTATGGCAAAGTGGTTCAGCTAAATCTAAGGCTCCCTAACTTTATTTTGACTGACTCAAAAAGGCATTAATGCGGCATACCTTGGTCTATCCTTCTACACTGATCTTTCAGACTGTGTTAATTAACAGCTTTTAATATTTCTTAATCTTGATCTTGGGAGACAGTCTTGGGGGGCAACTTAGGAGCAGCTAAATCAGTCCAGGGAGTAGCTGCCAGCACAGCTCTGATGCTGGAGAGGTGGGGGAAGAAGCAGCAGGAAAATTACTTTAGTTTGGGCACATAAAATACTAATCCATTTACTTACACTACAGGAGCAGCAAGGAGTCTACACAGACCTACAGATGCAGCAGAAGTCATATAGATCAATCTCTGCTGCCAGGCTACGTTTTGTCAGGCTTTTGGTGAAGATGAAAGGAAATACTGCAGATACCTGGTGAAGCTTGTCACATGCCATGTTGTCCACTGTTATTAGAGTTTTCACATTAATTTGCTCTTGTCTGCTGATTTTTCACTTGTTGCAGTCAGTGATCACAGCCACCTGGCAGACATACATGACTGATTGCAAGGACAAGACCATATCCCATCAATTTAAAATGTGTAGTGAAGACCGAGCACAGACACCTTGCCTGCAGGGTTTCAGCAGACCACAGGGGAAGCTCTCTCAAAGCAGGGAAAGATTCCTGTGAAGGCCTGTCTCTAATCAGACATTTCTACGTGCTGGGAGTAAAGCTAGCTGTGCAACTCCCACATCTGACTATTCAAAGCAGCATCTAAATGTGCTGTTTAAGCACTGATTTTAGAGTCAAAACCCAGCTATACAATTAAGGAACCCTGTTTTGGAAACCAAGAATGCTTTTATATATGTCTCTGTATGCTTACATTTCCCATAGTTTACTACCTTGGAAGTCTCTTGCACCCTTACTTAATGCCAGCATACCGAGTTGCAAGGTGGATCGAGCCCTTAGCCCCTTAGCAGGAACCTCTGAACCAGCCACAAATAATAGAATCATAGAATCATAGAATGGTTTGGGTTGGAAGGGACCTTAAAGACCATCCAGTTCCAACCCCCCTGCCATGGGCAGGGACACCTTCCACTAGACCAGGTTGCTCAAAGCCTCGTCCAGCCTGGCCTTGAACACTTCCAGGGATGGGGCATCCACAGCTTCTCTGGGAAACCTGTTCCAGTGCCCCACCACCCTCTCTGTGAAGAATTTCTTCCTGATATCTAATCTAAACCTCCCCACTTTCAATTTAAACCCATTCCCCCTTGTCCTGTCACTACAGACCCTTGTAAAAAGTCCCCCCCAGCTTCCTTGTAGCCCCTTCAGGTACTGGAAGGGGCTATAAGGTCTCCCCGGAGCCTTCTCTTCTCCAGGCTGAACAAGCCCAACTCTCTCAGCCTGTCCCCGTAGCAGAGCTGCTCCAGCCCTCTGAGCATCTTTGTGGCCTCCTCTGGACTTGCTCCCACTGGTCTATATCCTTCTGATGTTGTGGGTTCCACAGCTGGATGCAGTAGTCCAGGTGGAGTCTCACAGTCTAACTCATACATATAATTTAATGATCAAACAGCAGCCCCACTGCTCACAGAGGAGTTAATTCCATACTTAGAGTTGCCAGTGGTCATATCTGTTTGCAGGACCAGTCCTGCTAGAGTCATAAACTGAAAATGGGGGCAGCAAGGCTTTCCGCATGTATCAAGAACTTCCAGAGATGAAGGCAACACTCATGCTTGAGCTTCAGAGTGCACAGGTATGACACAAACTAGAACTAAAGAAAGGAAAAGTAAAAGCTTTTGTCAAAGATCAGCTTTGACACTGAAGCCAGATACCGAAGGCCTGATGATTTTGATATATCCAGTTTAGTACTGTCTCCCACTAGACTTCCCAGATTTTCAAAAGCTTTTCCTAGGATTTCTAAAGGAACAGAGGTATGTGGTAGACTGTATACACCATCACAAGTGACTTGGTACAAGACGTGCAGATCAGTAGCTGCAGGAGGTAGTGCAAGGCCCTTGCACCAACATTATATACAGCTAGAGGGTTTTATTTTGATTTAGTTTGGTCCCTGACCCAAACGTGCATGTGTTTCAAACCTGTTCAAAGGATCAGTCAGCAGTTTGATCTGGTTTAGGGTGTAAGCAAAAGTGGTGCAGACCTAGAACAGAGCTTCCAGTTTCACTTCTTCCAGAAGCAACCTAGTTTGCATGCAAGCAGAAATGACTGGGGTACTCGCTTCAAAACCACATTGGCAATCTGGACTAAAACACAAATGCAGGCACAACCACAATCTGCCTTCCAATGAAACACCTCCAAGGGAGCATGATGCCCAGGAAACATTCCAGTGTTAATTTTCCATAACTGTAAAAAATCAGACCCCAGTTCTGCCCTGAAGTGTTGAGCTTACCTGCCGTGGCTGGTTAACCTTAGCTCCTGAAGAAAGCAGCAATCGGATGACATCCAGATAGCCTCCTTGTGCCGCCAGGAAAATTGTAGAAGCTCCATCCTAAGAACAAATACATCCAGTTTATGCTGTATTGAAATTATGCCATTTTCCCCCCACAAAACCAAGCCAAACTGAATCAAGTTCTTGTTCTTAAGCTATTATGCAGTGTAGCAGCAGATATACAGCCATGCTCAAGGAACAATTACCAAAATCCATAGTTTGTAACCAAGTATGGAAACATTTTCATTCATTATGCACAAGTACTGGCTCCCCTCATACATCAAATGGAGCATTAAGTCCTAGGTCTCGAACACTAAGAGTCTAGTTCGTTGACTCAGTCATCAGCATAACTAGAAATTCATTCCTGAATAGCAATATAGGTTCCTTTAGCTTTTATATGTTCATGCAGAAATGTTCTGCCACATAAACACAAGGTGAAAATGAGTTCAAGTACTTTGCAATTCTGGAGACCCCAGCCCTAAAGTCTGTCCTTGAGGCTGAAGTAAGTGCTGTGACATACTAACTTGAAACCCCAGCAACCACCATGCCATTGCTCTGGCACATCTTCTACAAGAGACCCGTAATAAAATAACATGAAAGTAGCACATGCAAGACAGAGTATCTCCTAGGCCTATCAGAAACCAGCATTTTCCTGAAAAAAAAACCCCAAACTTCTGAGAGATCAAATTGAGAACAAATATGGGATTTTATTTTTCCTTGACATGTCTTTCATGTGCAGATGTTCTCAGAATTTGACTTCACAGAAAATTCTTCCTTAGGAAAAATGCTTAAAAGTCATATTTCATTAAGTTTTTTGATGAAAAAATTTCAAACAGCATTATAATCCATCCAACTGACTAGATGTGGAAATCTGCACTGAGGGTGGGACAGGTGTTTACCCATCCTATATCCACAGCACTCAGCACAGAGCGTGCTAGGGCAAGTTCTCCCAGGAGATGAGACTCTCTTAGTTAAACAGAGACACAAATGAACCCCTTCACTGCAGCTCAGATGTGCAAGTATACATTTCATGCCAACTCATACGTATATTTATCACAGAATACAGGGCGTTTTAGTGGAACCCTGTTGTTGACTGTGCTGGCATATCAGTCTGTGCGGACAGAATGCTGTTGTCTGCCGAGAGATACTGCTTAGCTACTCTTCTTCCTGAAAAACTCAACACGGGCTTAGTGAAGCTTGAGCTGAATATAGTGCCTCAGGGACCGAATCTAGAATGTTTGACCTTGATTTCAAGACAAATGTCCTGGTAAACAAGAGAAATGTCTGCTGGCACTACGAATGCACACCCCTGGGCACTCTGAGGGGCTGTTTTCTCTGGTTGCTATGGGAGTACACGAAATAGGGTGATGGTATCAGGTCCTTTGCAGGCCTCCTCCAGAGACAGGTATAGTGAGAACACTACCATTTAGAAAGTAAACAAGGTTGTGTAATATTAAGAGAGCTCTTTATTGTAGCATCAATCAAGATAGAGAACTTTATCTTCCCTATCACTCAACCACTTTTAAAATTATTAGGGTTTTGTACATGATTTGAACTGAGGATCTAATGAGAAAGCTGTTTTGAAGCTATAATGTATTTCTGCAAGAAATGCTGTTTAGTTAGGGTATTCTCTTGTCTTCTCTACCCTCACATGAGTCAATTTAAGATTACAACATCTCTATCTCGATGGTTTGGGGAGGACTACCAAAATGCATGCTTGAAATCCCTCTCAGTTGGCTGCCTGCCAGAGGAACTGCCAGCCAGACACCACTTTGCGAATGCAGCTTGGCGATGTCCCATGGAAGCAGCCAGGCTAACGCTTGTTTTCAAGAGATTGTGTTCTTATTTCATTAAGCAGCTGTTTTTGACCGGCTTTGTCCTATGGCTGTGAGCAATAAAAATACGTCTCTAAATCCAATTGCAAATATTGCTCATTTCCAGGAGAGATTACAAGGTGGTTATTTTACTGCCTTCACTTCTAGGTACGTCAAGCAGGTGTGGCAGCATGGCTATTTTTAAACCGAGTGGTAACCCCTGGGATTACCATGCAGAGGTATGAATCACTGCCCTTGGACTAGGAAGGAAATCTCTATTTGCACAGCAGCGAGGGAGGGACACCCTTCTTCATAAATGTGGGTTAAGGGAAGCACAGAGGTGGGGACCCCCTGTGCAACCAGTGCACAGCCTCTAGCATGCTGGTGGGAGCTAAGCATGACAGCATCCTGCCGATCCAAATCCCATGGAAATGCCTGAAAAAAAATAGTGTATTCCTGGGTAACGACTTCCTTTTTGTCAGTCCTGAGTGCCCTAAGAGTGATGGGAAGTGAAGGGAAAGTCGGCTGCTTCGTTCTGTTGAAAGCTGAAAAGCTTAACTTATTTGTGTCTCTGTTGTAGTAAATTAAATCCAGTGCTTCATCGGTTCGATCCAGCTTTCTGAAAAGTCAACTAAACAATGTCAGTTCAGCCATTTTAACCATTTGTTGCCCAACTGACAAGCTAGAGATGCACAAATACCAAATAACATAATTTTAACTGCTATTAAAAATATATATTTTAAAGATACTGAAAGATTTTAGCTTTTACTACTCTTTCTGGCAGAAAACTAATGAACTGATTCTCTAGTACCTCAGGGGCTTTAAAGCTATTCACTCTTCTGTTTTCAATGCAAATCATGATAGAATACAACATGATCTTTTCTTTAAGGCTAATGGATAGCACAAATCTGATCCAGATTTGGTACATATCCTTCATACTGATAACAAACCAAAAGGCTGCCAAATAATCTTTCCTGATTATGTGCTATTTCTCCCAGGATCATGAAAAGCAGACAGTTAACAGAATTCACATTTTAGAAGAGTAGAGTACTATAAAACTGCAATATTTGGCAAATGCTTCTCTGCTAGAGCCAGAGTATCCACTGTTGTCCAACCAACAGCACATTTGTTCCATCACCAGTGTTGTCAATATTAACAGTGTCAAGTCACTCACATAAAGTTGATCGTGAATGTTGGCACCGTGCTTCAACAGAGTTTCCACTACTTTTGTGTGCCCGTACTGACAAGCAGCTAGAAGAGCAGTACCTCCGTCCTGCAAAAAAAGCGAAGAGTGGGTGCAGTCAGGTGAGAGGGCACATGCTGGATTGAATATCACCATAAAACATAAGCAAATTTTAAGGCTCTTCACAATTTGGCTCACAGCCTTCTGCAGTGTGGAGCTACTGAATCTTTCATAATTTCAGTACCAAGTCTTGCTCCATAAATCTTTAAGCTTGGCTTTGTTACTATAAACATTTTTCTCCTGAGGTTTTTTTTAGCGAGGGACAAAAACCAAGAAAATTCTGCTTTTTGTTTCTCGTCTTCTGTCTTCCTCCTAGAAGTTTTGATCCCTTCACAGCTCCAAGCTCCTCCACAGTTCTTCCCTTTACAACCAAATCCCTCACCCCTGCCAAGCTCTTCCACCCACTGAAGGACAGCACACCTTCCCCGTGCTCCAAAGCCTACTGGTCATCTACCCTTCTCTGGCCGGAACTTCAAGCCCTGTCGTGTCCTGCCTCTCCTCTGTTGATTGCTGCCCTAAGAAGAGTAGGGAGGATGCATCTGAAAGCACCACAGAAGTGTGCATCAGACCAACCGCATGACTATCAGCAGACGCCCCATTACTTCTGCTGAAGGAGTGATCCCTGCAGGTTGGAGCAATCCCAGGCAGTTATAGTTGCTGCACACCACCACTAAAGGGAGACCTAGGAACATATATCAAATGCTCCTTGTAGAGCTGCTCCCTTGGGAGCCATCTGAGAAGGGAAACAGCTCAGTGTTGCTGCCAAATGACTCTGAGGCAGCTGGAATGACTAAGGTACTGAATGTGGGTCTTGCCATCTTGTTAAATGCACTGTGCCCCTCTTAAAAAATCACCCTTATTTCTGACACTGAGAGGGAGAGGAAGTTCTTATCTTCTGTCTGGGATGGCACCATGCCATCATGCAAGGATGACGCACGCCCCAGGTCATCCACACCAGCGGACTTCTCTCTCCTTCTCTGCCTTCTCCCTGTCTCAAACCCCTCCTACACAAGATAAGCTATCTAAAGTATTTCAGATAAATGGTTTCTAGAGCTGTTATTAATGTGGGCAAGAGTTTGTGTTTTCCCTCAGACTTGTTTTCTGAAACAGCTCCAAAGTTTTGTCTGAAAATTTCCACCCAGACATCCACAAGAGAAGTTACAGCCCGAATGGCCAAATGGATATTTTATGATGGGAAACGCCAATCATCAAATTTATTAATCTGTGGTGTTATTTCATGCCTAAAACAACCACATGAAAACTCGAGCTCTGACATGACTGAACTAACCACAGGCACTATTCAGATTCACAGATTCGTATTGTTTTGAGCTGCTCTCAAAAACTCATATTCACCCTTCCTCCCTATGACACTGCGAAGCAAACAACAATTGAGTGCCAGCAAAGTCACGGATGTGAAGCTGTTATGTGACAATCTAAAAATTGCATATTAATTCTAAATTATTTGAGTAAATATAGTGTGTAATCAAGCCAGTGGAATTAAGTTATTCTATAGCTGCAATGAGTCATTAGACTTCCCTGTCAAATTAATCTACCCTACTTCAATAGGAACTGCTGGAACAGAACACAAAAACAACCAGAATGGTTCCTGAATTAAAAAAACCTTATACGTGCTGAAAAGACAATGGCAAAAGCTAGTATCTTCGTGAAACCTATTTCCTGTCTCCAACCAGCTGACACTCATTTTGTTCGAGTAGTGAGTTACCAGATCAAAGGGCTACAAGGAAAAACCAGTTTTCCCTGAGGGAAATGGAACGAGAAAGGTTAGTGAGTTAAGAGAGAAACTGTGCTATCCAAATTGGAGGTGTGCTACAGAGAGGCAGGGAAGGTTGAGCTATAGGAAGCTTAAAAATATTGAGGTTCCCCATGTGGAGGGTAAATAGACATGCTCAGTTATCTGCATATGGGAACAGTTTGTTTATTGCTTTACGGTCTCTTTTTTGTTTTCCAAAATTCTTGTGTTCTCAACAAACTCCTGTTATTTTAAGAGGATTGTTTGGTTATTAACATACTTTCTGGAGGGAAACAGATGACAGGTCCCAGACAAAAAGCAGGCCAGCAAAGCTAACCGCAGTTAGCAAAGCAGAGCTGGTGTCCAACACTTGGTGTACAACTGTGTGATCCCACCATGGGAGATGGCACAGCTTGAGCTTTAAGAAGGGAGACACTTCTCACAGGATATGTCTACATGTCTCAGAATGGGGATTCTGACCAAGTGTTTGGTTGAATCCAGTGAACTGTTTTATACATGCATTTTTTGAAAGAGTAACACATTTCCAAAATATACCATTTAGATCTTCCTGACTAGAGTGACCAAGTTTCCTAGATCACCCTGATCAGATTCCAGGGATCAGAAAAAAAGCATTGGGTGGTCCCCAGTTCCAGCTGTTCACCCTGAATCAAATACTTACTGGATCAGAAAGAATTGGATAACAACTCCTTGGCTCAAAGATTTGGTCCCTGACCAGGAGAACAACTGGGCTCCAAGACCTGCTCTACTGCGTGTCTCCTATGAAGCTGAACACATTCAACAGAAGAGACTGGGATTCATTTGCACGCACTGTGTGGGGGTACCGCTGTGATAAACAGGGATATGTCTTGGATTAAGAAGGGGAAGTGGGGGCCAGGAATCTTCTCCACTGACCATGCAGTAAGACAGCACTCAGTTTATTCAAGGAATCGTCAAACAGCGTGAAGGTCCATGGTTTTTTAGGAGGAGAAAAACTCAGCCCCCTCACACCTCTATTGAGCTTCCATCTTGCTTTCTCTTACACTTTCCTCCAGCAAGCCCTAGCTGGAGACGCCGCTGTTTTACAGGCCCTAAGGAAGGCAGATGAATTATGGGGGGGAAAAAAAAAGGTAAATACAAGATTTTAACATCCCTTTCAGCCATGTGATTCCCTCTTTCCTTTTTGGCTTCAGCTGACTCAAGTAAAAAGCTGAATCTTTGGTACTGGCAAGCCGGCTTGGGAAGCCTGAGCAGCGCAGCGAGCAGGAGCAGGGACACGTGAGCACCCACAGAGGCACCTCTGGGGCACTTGGCATTCTGCTGATGCAGCTGAGGGAAGGCACATCGCCTTGGGTTGGTTTCTTGCTCATATCCTGTTTTCCTGACACATGTAGCTTCTATTAATCCTTCACTGCAACCCCTTCCAGCTCAGACCTGAGCTAGTTCTCTCAGCTACCGCTGCAATTCTGCCTCTGAAAGCATTTTTCTTATCCCCACGCAGTCTGCCCTCCCTACTGGCTGCACATATGGCAGCCGCCAACCTCCCATAAAAGCATGTTCCAAGCAGCACACGATAAGCACTGGTGTAGGCTTCCATCTCTGTCTGCTTACCTCTTCCTTCACCTCATCATTGCCTGAAAGTGGCCTAGAATTACGTGGTGTTTTATCATCTCTGAAATATGCTTAAAAGGGAGGAGAGCTGATCTTTTGCAACCACTGCCTGCTGACAAATAGCCCCTGACACACTGTTCGGCCTGCGGTATTGCTCGGAAAACTTGCCACCATGAAAACCCTTCCAAGAACCCACATGGTTATAACATGTCTCAGAGTAAGAAAGTACCTTGGTCTCTCCTCCCAAGTGACAAGCGATAGGACAAGAAGAAACAGCCTCAAGTTGCACCAGGAAAGGTTTAGGTTGGATACTATGAAAATATTCTTCACCAAAAGGGTTGTCAGGCACTGGAATGGGCTGCCCAGGGTGGTGGTTGAGTCACCATCCTGGAGGTATTTAAAAGATGTGTGGATGAGGTGCTTAGGGACATGGTTTAGTGATGGGCTTGGCAGTGCCAGTTTAACAGTTGGACTTGATGACCTTAAAGGTCTTTCCCAACCTAAGAGATTTTATGATTCTATGAGTCTATGAATTTATGCTGCATACTTCTAAGGATCACAGACTGGAACAACAGAGAATAATATTATTGAATAATATGTATTTTATAATAAATATATATTAGCCTTCAGTAGTACTATTTATTCTCTTTGCAACAGCAGAAATTATTGATGATTACTTTATTACACTATTATAGAACATTTTGCTTTGCCTGCCATAGTGAATATCAACTCTAATGATGCAAAAGGTAAAAATAATTAAACACCTATATTAACATAGTTCTCCAGCAATCTTGAATATGATTAACAAATGCAGTAATTACAATTTACAGAGGTACCTGAAAAAGGTGTTGGACTTTGAATTTCCTTGATTTAAAGTCTCTGTTTCCTAGGGTATGCTCAATTTGTTTTCTTATTTCAATTCCACATCTTCATTTATAATAGAAAGTTCTTTGTAAATGGATTAATTTTCCAGTGCCCTTTAAAATAGCCAGGGTCAGCCATATCTTTTCCAGCGCTGCTCCCAGCTGAGTGTCTTAATTGGAAAATGCCTTATCTTTAACCTGAAAAGGCATAGTTTGTCAACTATATTGTTTCTGGGTTTTGGGGGTAGGGTGGGGTAGCCTATTATCTTAGTCGTCTGTTAAAAGAACGATGATCTGATGGAGTAATTTCAAGCTACAAAACCCACAGTATTAAATCAGAAAAATGAACTGATACAAACCCACACTAGAAGGCAAATGTAAGATGCATACTGTCAAACGTTCTCGATGGTCCCTCCTGCTTAGGTACACGCTGCTGCACAAAGTACGAGTTGGTCTCCCGTCTGGCCTCAGTCTAAAAATTTAGTGCATTACTGGAAGTTCTAAGCATTTGGTTTCCTGTGTCTAGATCCTCATTTCACAAGAGCTGCAGTCCCCGGGCAAGGCATGAGTGAAAGAATGAACATGGCAGTTTCCAGGATATATTGCAGCATTAATGGTGACTCTAGCAAAGCCCTCATACTACTATTCAGAGTGAGCAGATCCGTTCAACAAAGAGGGCATGGACATTATACCTAACCCCAACTTTTTAAACCAGTGCCACTTTAATCCTGAACACATTAATTTTAACTCAGCTATCCTTTGTTCAGCATTTAAGACCCTTTCCAGGCACTACAGCTGGTGCCACACTGTCAGTGCTGAAGAGATGGCTACACCTCTTGAAGAGGTGATGAAAAGCAGGGGGTGCTGGGACAGGCGCATTTGATGCTGCTGGAAAATAGCCTCACATACACGACATGCACCAGGTTGTCATGTTATGGGAGTTGGTGTTGTCTTATGACCAGCTTGACTGGAAGTGGCAGAGAACTGTGGCCTGAAGAAGAAGAGTAACCTGCAGCTTAGAAGATACTTATGACTGGCACATCGGCCAAGTCAGGTCTGAATTCAGAAGAAGAATCAGGCAGGAATATGGGATCCAGGAGCAAAGTTTCAAGGAGAGCAACAGTAAAGCCCAAACCCGCATTTGTGCAAAGATGGAAGCCATTAGGAGCAGCTGAATGAAGGAATATTTTCTTATAATTTAGGCCTTTGCTCCCTTTTATCTGCCCTGATGACTCACATCAATATATTTTGCATACTTCATAAAATATCATGAAGGATCAGACAATTTCAAGCCTGCTGTTCACCTTCTGGGCCAAGACTTGGCCTCCTCACAAACTTCTAGTTCACAGGCTGTGAAAAGGTTTGGTGAAAATGTAACTGTCCCTCTAGACAGAATAAGGTCCTCAGCCTCTGTCTTCCTGCCTTACCAAGATTCCTGCATTCACCGCTTTCCCTCCCTCTGCAAAAACACTGCCCAGTTGCACGCTGAGCCGCAGTGAGTAGCCTGGGACACATTTGCTCCTTCAGCAAAACTCCTCTGTGGCCTTTTTACAGGCCAGATGACTAGAAGGACGATGTAAGCTCACTTGGCCACTTGTATACATCTGAATGCAAGAGAAGGCGATTCTTCTGAAACTTGCTACCCTTCACCTATACCCTGAAGTAAAAGACTGAAAAGCAATCCTTATTTTAATGTGCAGCTAATCCCAGACACTCTGTCCCACATGACATTACCCAGCACTTTAAAATCCAGCTGTTTATTGAACACTCCAACCTCCTATCTTGCCAATTTCCACAGCTGCACTCCATGTTGTGTTAAACAGCCACAATTTCATCCGTGTTTCTAAATTTACTGATTGCTGCTGTGGTCAGAGAGTTGCTTACCACAAGCATGGCTCCCTGGGGTACTAGAATCCTACTGCGTGGGCATGTGTGGACTCTGGCCACAAAACCCCAGGATTTTCAGTCCCTGGAGCATAAGGATTTGAGTGTATGAACTTCCATCACTTTCCTTAATATTTAAAACCACTATTTCCAGGGACTCTGGAATGCAGGTATGGGTTGAAGGAATCATTCGAACCACAGACTGCAACTTCTCGAAAAAACTGGTTACTGTGGGGTAAAAGAAGTATTCCTTCTTCTTCAAACACATTGTTATGGATCCCAGAGTAAGTGATTGGCAAGTGTTCTCCCCAGATTATGGGAATGATACGAAATGCAGCCAGCATGTCAAGGGCAAGAATGAAAGCAGAGGTGCTAGTACTGCCTTGGGCAAAGAAACTGTGTTGATGTACTGCTGTCACTGATGAACGGCTGTCCTTAATGCTGTTTGACTATGAGGTGTGATGAACCAGACCCGGCCTCTGCCATTTGTGCTTTTGGCTATTGCAAGAAGATTTCGAAAAAGTACCTGCCTGAACAAAGAAGTAGAAGCTCTGAGGTGCATTTCTTCAGCTTGTCACAGATGGGTAAATGGGAATTCAGGGAGGACTGAAGTATTATACTCCTACATATCCTATGGTGGTATGCAGAGACTTCCTAATGGACATGAAATTTCACTCTGTGTGAATGAAGTACATATAGACCTAAAATGAGATCCTACCTGACATGTACAAAAAGACCCTTTGTTCTTGTATGGGAGGATGGCTTAAGAGGAAAGACTGATATCACTATCAAGGGTCTAATCTTTGATCAACTTGTGCTATTGTCTAGGTAGGAAATAGTCTCAAGTTAATATTTTCACAATATGTTGCATTACTCATATTACTCAGAAAATGTGCAAGTGAGGAAATCATCTTCCTGCTGCCATGTCACGTTTCATGTGAACAGGGAGAAATAGCCTTGACTGGCAGAATGTATCAGCATGCAAAAATAGACCCATGATCTTACTTTATTCTTAAATTCAGTAGAGGCTCCAAATTCAAAGAGAAACTTCACTACATCATTGTGGCCTTGCTGTGCCGCAAAGAACAGAGAAGTTGCACCTGACTGTAAGGAAAAGAAGGATTAAAAACCAAAAAATCAAAACAAACATATAACACACTTGACTGAAGTATATACATTTCAAATTAAAAAGTTTTGAGCACAATCAGTTGAATATCAGCTGAAAAGGCATTATGATTTTGAGAACTCCAGAGGACACCAGGTGTCTTACGTCAGTTTTCTTCCCATTGCACTGAGAAACATGTCCAGCATCATACATTTGTGTAAAATCCAAGTTTCACCAGAGGCTTCTGCACAGAGTTTCTAATATAGACCTCTTAGGATTCACGCACTTCTAGCCAGTCACCAGACAGGGAAAGCAAGTTTTGCACAACAGTGGAACAGCCAATTTAAAACCAACCCCTATTCTACCTGCTGCTACAACCTGAGACCAATAGGAACATGCTTTCCTGACTTTGGGCTCCCTCATCCCATGTAGAAAGTGCAGGGAAGGGGAGATACACATGAAATTCACTCCCATGCCCAAAGCCTTTACATGGCCCGTTGAGACCATTTCAGAGCCCCCTCTCCCAGCCACATTTATGGGGGTCTCACTTCCCCAAGTTTCACAACAACTTCAGAGTACAAGAACACTGGTTTGAGTATGTGGATTTGGTTGCAGAAGAGTGCCGTTGGTCTGTAGCGCTTAAACTTCATCTGTTTCACTGTTTCTCTGCAATTTGGAGGATTTCAGTGTTTGTATTGGCTTGCTGAAACAGTATGTCCTGAGCGATACTCAAGAACAGCTTCATAAAACTGTTTTCAATTTATCCTTTCGCTGCTGCTTTTCAAGCAATGTTTACTTAAGGGAAGGGACATGTTTAAATACGTAGTTTTTTGGAACAGGACCCCACTGAAAGACACTGACAGACATGGTTAGAGCAAGTTTAGGCCAGTAAGCGAAAAGACATTTATATCATCACACATGGCATTCACTCAGTTAACTTGCACATGTCAGCATGAGATTATTGCTCGAGTTCCAGGTAACCAAGGCAAGTGAGAAACATTTGCTTGTATTGTTACAGTGATGAGCATACTCCTGTCCTGCACTGCCTGCCACCGTCCCATGTTACTGCATGCCCTCCTTAAACTGCTCTTCTCCCTGGATCAGTACAGCTGTCGTTGTCCCTGAGCAATTCTGCTCTCTGTGTAGCCAGCACACAGAGCAGGGCAGCTCAGGTAGTCCTTACAGTCATTTGTGCAGAGTATGAGCGGAAGGCACTTTCCCAAAACCAGCCACTGTCATTGTCCCATTCACAAGCAAGCATGTCACGAGGCAAGAGATGCCTTGAATGCAAAGCAGAGATGCAGGGCAGGGTACGAGTGATTAAGTTGTGTGATTGTGAGAGTTGACTTGGCTCAGACTAAGAGGCAGAAACTCCAAAGCATACCCAGTCAAAATAACCCTGGGGCTAGCAATGGCATCCACTCTGTTTTCATGATCAGACTCTGCAAATCAAAAGGTAAAGGACATACCATTTATCCCATCCAGAGAGCTGTAAATTACTGTATTTGTCAGTGACATGGATGGTGGGATTGAGTGCATCCTCAGCAAGTTTGCTGACGACACCAAGCTGTGTGGTGCGGTCGACACGCTGGAGGGAAGGGATGCCATCCAGAGGGACCTTGACAGGCTGGAGAGGTGGGCCACTGCCAACCTCATGGAGTTTAACAAGGCCAAGTGCAAGGTCCTGCACCTGGGTTGGGGAAATCCCAAGCACAAGTACAGGCTCGGTGGAGAGTGGATCGAGAGCAGCCCTGAGGAGAAGGACTTGGGGGTACTAGTAGATGAAATGCTGAACATGAGCCGGCAGTGTGCGCTGGCACCCCAGAAAGCCAACCGTATCCTGGGCTGTATCCAGAGAAGTGTGGCCAGCAGGTCGAGGGAGGGGATTCTCCCCCCTCTCGTGAGACCCCACCTGGAGTTCTGTGTCCAGCTGGGGAGCCCTCAACATAAGAAGGACACAGACCACTTGGCGTGAGTCCAGAGAAGGGCCATGAGGATGATCTGGGGCCTGAGCACCTCTGCTATGGGGACAGGCTGAGAGAGTTGGGCTTGTTCAGCCTGGAGAAGAGAAGGCTCTGGGGAGACCTTATAGCACCTTCCAGTACCTGAAGAGGTTGACAAGAAAGCTTGGGGAGTGGACTTTTTACAAGGGTCTGTAGTGACAGGACAAGGGGTAATGGGTTTAAACTGAAACAGGGTAGGTTTACACTGGGTATCAGGAAGAAGTTCTTCCTGGAGAGGGTGATGAGGCACTGGAACAGGTTGCCCAGAGAAGCTGTGGATGCCCCATCCCTGGAAGTGTTCAAGGCCAGGCTG